TTTCCATCACTTTCTTTCCCTTGTAGTCTTTGGGTCCTATCACCATTGTGATCTCTAATCACCATAAAATGTAGTTTTCCTTCTCTCTCAAAAAACTTAATATAAATCAGACACCTGAATTTACTTTGTACTGTACTCAAGAAAACTGAAATACAAATAAAATTCTCGTATTTCTGAAAATTTGGAATTAGAAACCAATAACATATTGGATAATGCAATCTGGATCATAAAACCCATGAATCTTGGAGTTCCATTCCATGGCTGAATATGAATTGTGAGACCAAAGAAGTCAGCCTAAGAGATGGATATACATATGAAGTAGAATGTTTTGTTTCTTTGTCAAATGTCTTGTTAAAATGGGAAGCATCTATGGATGAATTAGGCTGTGTTTGTTTGGAGGAAAATAAGTTCCAGAAACTTGTTTTCTTCTTTTTCTTTCATTTTTTGATGTTTGTTTCGCGTTTAGGAAAAAAGTCAACTGAAAATGATTTCCAATTAACAAAAATGATAGAGTATTTTTGGGAAAGTATTTTTTGAATTAAAAAAGAGAAAAACATTTTTCCACTCTCGCATGAGCTATCTCGTTCTCGCGTTGCTCACCTCTCTCTTAATATATTTTAAAATTTTTTTCTCTCTGTCTCCTTTTTATTTAAAATATATCAAATTAATTTTTAATTATTTCTTATTAATTATTATTAATTATTTAATTATTTTTTCTCTATTTCTACTAACATTTGATTTTTTGATTTATAAATACATTAAATATTCTTTTTACACCTTAAAATTATTTTTATAATAAATATTTCAATAATTTATCTCTATTTTTTTTTTGTCATTATCCTAAACACCACCTAAACTATATTTACATAATTGGAAATGATTATTACAAAACCGCAATCATTTATGAAAAAAATTGATACTAATTAATTCATGAATAAAGATATTATTTTCTCAATACTATTTATTTGCAACTAAATCAATAATTTGTTACTAATTTTAATTAGTTGTAAAATTTTATTGGTAATTATAGTCAAAATTAGTTATAAATTATTTCAACATTAATCTTTTGAAATCAAATGAATAATTATTTACAAATGATAACTAATAATTTGTAAAACTATTATTTAGGCTAAATTATCAGCTTAATTTTCAAAAAAAAAAAAAAAAAGAATTATTAATTGAGTTACCAAAATAATAATGCTAGGATTACTTAGAATTTTTTTTTACTAAATGTGAATATTGACTTGATTTTGTTCCAAGTAGTTTTGATAAATTGGTTTGATGGTTAAAAATGTATATTTTATTTTTTGATTTTAAATTGTAGAGTCGGTATTTATAAAAATTTATTAAATTTTTGTAATCGTATCTTATATTGTAAAATTGTGAATATTACTTGTTGAAGTTTCCTCAAAACTCATTGATGTAACAATCACACTTTGTTTTTGTATTTCATTTTTTTGTATCAAACAAACGTTGAAATATATTTTTCAACAGTTTTTTCATGTAATTGTCAAATATCAAAAAATATTTTTTTGAAAAATAACTTCCTGAAAAATAGCTTCTCCAAAATTAATTTTCCTATTGAAAATTGTATTCCATCAAACAAAGGGAGCCTTAGTGAAGCATCACTTCCTTGAAAGTGAGGTCACTAGTTTCTAACCCCACTTGGGGAAATTCTCAGTTTGGAAAACATGGAATGTGCTTTGTTCTGATTAAAATACTCCAGAAAGTAGAGAAAGAGCTGTATTTGATATGCATGGAAAACATAAGTATTGTAAAATAGAACTGTTTTGTATGGTCACATAAATTGTAGCTAGAAGGTACGGTCATTAGATTAAATTTTCCCCCTTTTTTCTGTGTTATGTCTTTAGGCTGTGAAAGGTTGTATATGGCTGTTTGAACAAGAGCAAGCATTGGGCTTCAGCAGTGTGTCAACCAACATTCGAATGACAGTTATCAAACTCAAATCTGGAGGATTATGGATCCATGCACCCATTGCTCCAACAAAGGAGTGTATTCAGGTTCTACCTTGTGTACCTTTTTTACTCTTTAACAAGATGCTCTTAGTCTTATTCCGTTCCATGTAGGATTTGAGTATGTATGGATTTTAGTTTGTTTTTGTAGCTTGAGAAATGTCCTTTTTTTACTTACCCAATAAAAGGGGCAAAACTGATCGGTCTTTTAAGGTCTATCCAATAACACGACTTTTACTGATAGATAGCTAACCAAAATGGTCTTGCCTTTAGTTATGAATGATTTTTTTTTTCTCTACTCTACACCAGCATATGATGTATATAGGAAGTAGGATGCAAAATGATTAGACTTAGCTATTGGTCCTTGGCATCTATTTCTGTGTAACATTTTAAAGGAGATCTGACCATGTTTAAGCTGCCTACCTGAAAACTAACAGTTGGATGCTACTTCGTGTTTAGATGTTGATTACTTGACAGTACAGAAGTACCTCCTTGTGAAAGGAAGCACTTCTATTTCCTATCTTCAAAATCCAAAATGAAAGAATAATGGTTAAATGTGCTCCAAAAAACTCAGAATTTGTCACCTTTCTAAATTTTCGTGATATTTGATAGAAATAAGAACCAGCTGCAGGGAAGTCAGTTACATCTTACATTTGGTTATTTTAATGTATCCTGCCTTTCTGCAAATTTGGCCCCGTTTTTATGAGTGACCCTATCTTGCCAGCTTTTGAAGGAGTTGGGAGCTCCAGTCGAATACATTGTCCTGCCTACATTTGCTTACGAGCATAAAATCTTTGTTGGCCCATTTTCGAGGAAGTGCCCACGCGCCCAAATATGGGTGGCACCAAGGCAGTGGAGTTGGCCCCTGAATTTACCACTTGAGTTCTTTGGAATTTTTCGTGCCAAAACCTTGAAGGATGAAGATATGTCTACTCCCTGGGCTGATGAGATTGAACAAAAAGTTCTAAGCTCCCCAGAAGTTGGTAATGTAGATTGCACATTGCAATGCATCAAACTTCATTTGGATGAATCATGATTCAAACAAATTTGTTACAAATTATTTCAGGAATTGGACCATATGTTGAGGTAGCTTTCTATCACAAGGGTTCAAGAACACTACTAGTAACAGATGCTGTAATTTTTGTCCCAAGAAAGCCACCTGAATGTATTAGTAAAGAATCCTTGTTAGCATCAGCAAAGAATGGCTTGGCTGTAAAACTTCTCAGTAAAGGGAAGGAAGTCCCTCAGGAACCAGTTGTTGATAACCAGATGACCCGGCAAAAAGGTTAGTATTTTAATTCCACTTCCAATAAGTGAAACTGAATATGGTGTTGAATGCAGTTTGAGGGTGAGGGTGTATGCATCATATTGAACAAATCCCGTTCTTGGTGCAGGGTGGGAAAGAATGGTCCTCCAAATCTTGTTTCTTGGTCCATCTAATCTATTGGAACCTAAAGCTAGCTTCGCTCAGATGTCACAAAAGCTGATTGTTTCACCCATTGTGAAGACTCTGGTCTTCAGCAAAGTTCCTGAAAAGGTAAAGAAACGATTTTGATGCTGTATTAGAGCTCTTATAGCTGAGCTGAGATGATTGTATAGGCCTAAAAAGTGAAAACAACAACAGACCGTCACTCTGCCTGGTCACGGTTTGCCGCGATTGGTACTATCAAACCAAAAAATAAACAAATGATGAAAATCTTATGAATTATCAATCTTCTAGAACACATTCTGAATTTCAGCATGGCCATCTCTTTTCTAAATCGTGACAATTTTCTTGCTTGTTAAATTGCAGGTCAGGGATTGGATTGATAGAATTGTCCAAGACTGGAAATTCAAGAGGATAATCCCTGCTCATTTTGCTGCTCCTATAAACGCAGGCAGGTCTGAATTTTTAGCCGCATTTGCATTCCTAGATGACCTTTTGGGAGAGCGTTATGTTACCCGGCCTTCACTCTCCCTTCTATTTACATCAATTATGGGCAAGGCAGCCAGTTACTTTCCACCAGATGACATGAAGACCTTATCATCTCTTGATCAGTTCTTAGTCTCGGTGGGAGCAGTGAAGAAGACTGTCTCAGGCCGGAAGAAGACGGCATGACAGATAAATGTAGCCAATCAGTTTCACCATCTTAAATGTACACACATGAATATGCAGTGTTTGATGAATCGACATTTTCCTAGCATTTTGATAGAGTAACGAAATACATATTTTTAATGCCCCTAGTTGTATATGTTTTAAATGATTCGAAATTCAAAGGGTCAACTGTAGAAATAGCTTCTTTGGGTGCCTTGCCATTAAAAGCAGATTATTCCTCCATCAAACAGATTTTATTTGTTTTCTACAGCTTTGTCTTTCCATTTAAGCAATGAATAAATATTAGTCACAGGAAACAGTAAAAGGTTTCCTCTGCTAAGGACTATAGTTCCGCTCATATCTATTTCTCTCAAATCAGCTGCCAGAGGAAATGCGATGGTTGGCTGGTTTGATACTCTGAACCAGGCTTAGGTTCTTATCATGTTAGTGACAATAATATGACTGCTGATCATATAGTTAACTTGATCTGCACCTTCGATTTTATTATCTAATCACTGAGAAATTCTGAGGATCAGGCTGAGTCTCTAACCAAGAATATAGTTCATGTGAGACCAAAGAATGCAAACTCCCTCCAAAATAGAACGACACTTGCATCTTCCTTGAACTTGCATGTTTAGGCTGTTTCTGTCCTTAATTTCTAGTGAAATGGACTCATAATAAGAATTTATATATATTATCCACTTAGAAGCATAGTGATGTGACAATTACTTGCAACTTCAGCAAAGCTGACAATTACTTGAAGTTGAATCAATCTTTTCTGATCCTGAAAATTAATTCCTTTGCCTTGAGTGGCCCTATCTGTGGGGTCATGTACTAAAAGCTTAATTGGACCTACTAGAATTTAAGCGTATAAATAGCCATTGACCCCCTATCTTCTAGCCTCCAATTACTGTGTTGAATGTTAAGTACAACTATTAAATAACTATATTTGCATGGGTCCTGGTCCAACACTTCCAGAAAGTGATGACTCAAAGCAAAAGGCAGGAACGGTTCGACACGTTATCTACATTGAAAACAAAATAGTCCTTGTTACGGAGAGGAAATTTACACTCTTGTGGACGAATTCCTGACGCTTCTTCAATCAGAGAATATGGAACGAATCACTGATTATCATAAATACTTGGAAAAAAAAACCTACATTTTGGTTGGATGGTCACCTTCTTCTCAACTAAAAACTAGACCACACCAACTAGATTGAAATTGAAATTTCAATCTCACACGGCCATGCAAACCACTCATTGATCAACATAAATAAACTTAGAGTACTTTTTTTTTTTTTTTGGTTAAAGAAATTATCTTGGTGGGTTAGAAGATTTGTTTCATTTTTTTAATTTTTTTTAAAATTCAAATCGTAGGACCAACCAACATCTATCTAAATTAAGAAAACAGATACTTTTTCTATTTTCAATGGGCACAGAACTTTTCAGACGGTGACTTTTCTTAGAGATAAACACAACAGCAATAAAAGAACATGGTAGCTTAGCTAGATCTTAAAGCATGGGTGTGATGGACCATGAGAGTGTGAGAGCTAGAAAGAATCCAAAGTGATTTTTCCTGTTAATAAATTGTCTCTTTCCTCTTTTTTCTTCCATTTGGGTTATGCCTTTGACAAAAAACTTTAGGGCATGCTTCCATGTGTTGATGCAATCGCCCTTCTTTTCATACTTCCCACCTGATAAATCATTGAAGAAGCATTACTTTTTCCCACGAAGAAAGGGTAACTCCGAGGGGCTTCATCTTGGAAAGGCCAATTGTCCAGCCTTTAAGTCTGTGAAATGCCAGGCATAAAGCACTAGAATTTTTTTTATTTTTTTGCCCTTTCCTTTGAGTTTGGGAAACAGCAGGTAGCCAAAAACTTGCCAACAAGCTAGCTGAGTTATTGGTTGAACTTATTGTAGCTTGACTAATGAGCTTTATAATGGTAACAATTGACGAATTAGGAAGTTTAAGTTGAATCAGCCGTTTACTTTTTTATATGTATAATAATTAAGCATTGGATGCCGGTAAATATGCATGCCATCATGAAATCTTAATTCTAATGCTAACCAAATCATGCACCTACCTACCTCTATCACATTTTGCTAATCAAATTGATGCATAATCATAGCCGGACCATTCTAATTTGCATGCATGGTCCAACCTTTGCCAAATTTTGAACCATTAAGTTCAACCCATCTGCCTTTACAATAATTAAGCTTCAATCCAATACACATAGTCAAAGTACTGGAGTTAGTGCTTAACTAATCTTGTGAATTTTTTCCATGAGACTTGCAAATTAAGGAGACTAAGTTTGTATTTGATAATGCATAGTATGTTCTGTTTTTGTAAAAGTATATTTTAATTGAAAAAATATTAAATTTTATGTCATTTCAAGTGTGTATATATATATCAAGTTTTTTTTTTTATACATATAAGTTTTAAGTATTTATTTTTTCTAAAGCTTTTAAAATTTATATCAGTTTTTTTTTCTTTTTTAAGTTGATGACATCAAGATTCGTAACAAATTAAATCTTTATGTTTTAATAAATAGACATTGTTGTTTTTCATTAATCTTTACAACAAGCTAGTTAGTAGTGTTATTGATTGATTTCTTGAATCAATCCTTTATATTTTAATACATAAAAATTATTGTTTTTAAATCTTTAGAAGGAGTGCTATTTATTGAGTAATCTGCTAGTTACTAGAAACAATTTTGTTGATTAGAAAAGAAAAAGAAATATTTTGTTTCCTTAATTTACAAATTTTGTAACACTACTATGATTTCGCTAAATAGGGATTGAAATTAGTAATGGACATACAACCGTCATTAAATAAAAAACAAATAGTGGCAGAATAACGATTGTTAGAATCGGTGATGATTTATTAGTGATTGACATTAATCCGTTGCTAAATTTGAAGATAAAATATTTTTGAAAGTTTTAGAAACGATTTAACAAAAAATTTGTTAAAAAAAATAGCGACGGAATGATAAATCCATCGTTATTTTTTATATCATAATTTAGCAACGAATATTTCATCATTAAAGAGCATATCCATCACAATTTAATGATGAAAAAAAATATGTCGCTAAAGATGAGAATTTAGGCAAAATTAGATGAATTTTCAAAAAATAAAACCACCCTAAATGCGTGACGGACGCTTATCTCCAATATAATATAATAGCACATAAGATTTTTTTTTTTTTTTTTTTTTAAAAAAAAGGAAGCATCACTCACAGTAGAATCTAAGTTTCAAGTGATTAAGAAATTATATAACTGTTGGGACCAACTTAATTTTTTGAACCCATCAAACATAGTCAACAATAAATTAACAACCGACCATTGTCCGAGATCTGTTGATTGCCATTTTTTTTTTTCGAAAATCAGATCTTATATGTGCAAAATATTGTTAAATATTTATGTTTATTAAGTAACATTCACAAATGTATTCTAAACTTTTTGTATATGGATGAAAGAGGCATTTTTTGTGTCGGATCCGTATTAGCCTATCTATATATTCATTTTTTGTATATATATATATATATATATATATAAGAAGAAGCTAAAACTAGGTATTATATATACCCTATTTTACTTTTTCCTTTTGTTTTTCTCTTCTGAAAGTAATTAAATTGTTAAATATGACCGTGCCCACCTACCCTCTAATGAGATATAATGTATTTCATAAATATTTCTTCTTAATAATGAATAATAAGATGTGACTTTGTATTAATATATCAGCTTAGTAGCGCGTTATGTAATATTAAAGAAATAATATATAGTTCAGAAAATTAGGTTTTTCATGACCGACTTTTTTCATGCCCCCTAAACTTCCATTTTTAGTAGTGTGTGCCAAACTGTCGATAGCAGAACCTTCCAACGTGCGTTGCAATAAATTTCCATATAAATATAAAAAAGGCCATTTTCTGAATTAAATTTATTTTTATTATTAAAGTAATTTTTTCTCAAAGATTATTGACTAAGATAAACAAAGAGGCTAATATATCATTCCAGTAAAAAGAGAAAACTGAGATATTATCAAGTTTGTATTTTACTATTATTATTATTATTATTAGGGTGTATAATTTAAAATAATAAAATATATCACATAATATTCAATATAGCAATTAAATATAAAATATTTTGAAAGGATTGATTTTTTAAGAATTTTTTTTTTTTAAACGAGGTGAATCTTTAAGGTGTTATATGAATCTATGGCCCCAAAAAGGTAACCTAATTCTCCTCTTGCATTGAAAAAAGATAAAATATTAGCCCATGGCACATTACCACAAACCGAATACCATTTTAAAAAACAATTGTAATGTTATTGGCCATTGAATCCAAACCTTTTTTTTTTCAAGAATTAATGTACTAATTAATTAATACACTTCTTAGCCAAAAAAAAAATCAAATAAATAAAGATATTACACATAATCATAGAAACCTATTAATTTAAAGCTAATCTGAAAAATCAGATTTTATTTCAAAATAGTTCTTCAATATTAAATTCCATTTTAATTGCGAGGAGAAGATTAGCCCTAATTTCCATACATGCAATAAATTCTATATTCCAAATTAACCACTAAAATAAGTAAGTAAATCCTCCCAAAAACTCACCTTTGACTCTGGTAGATTCCCTTATCCAAAGTAAAAAATAAAAAATAAAAAAAATAAAGGAAACAGACAAAATAGTCTAAAAAAAACCGCCTCTCTCTCTCTCTCTCTCATACGCACATAAAAATACTCACAACAACCGCGTAATATAACGGAGAAAGAAGAAGCCCACCAATACCAAACACCAAATATCAAAAACTGAAAGAAACAGAGAGATAGTTGCTTGCATGATCTCTCAAGCCTAAAATCAATCAAAAGAAAGGGGGAAAAAAAACAATAAAAGAGAGCAAAATCTCATTTCAGTTGCATTTGCCTTGGCTTTCTGGTTAAGCACAGTTTTAGTTTTCTCTCCACAGGTATGAAAAAAAAAAAAAAAAAAAAAAACTTCCCTTTTCATTACGTTTCGTTTTTCAAGCCTTTTGTATTGCTTTTGTTTCTATATTAAAGTTCCTCTTTTGGAGACAAATACAAGATGGATTTTCGTTTTGCAAAAAATGGGTTGCCTTTGAAATGGTGTTTTGATCATTGGTTTTAGAGAAAAACTTGTTCTTGGTGCGTTTTACCTCTAGTCTTTCTTTTGTTTGTGGCTTCTGTTTCAATACAGGTTTTTTTTTTCTTGATTTTTTTTTTAAACTTTAGTGAAATATTGGATTCTACCTCTGTCCTCTGCTTTTAATTTGGTGGCATGAAGTTTCAGGATTTTGGTGATATATGGATTGAGAGCTTCATTTGTATATGATTTGTGTGTGTTATGGTTTGGTTGCTTTATTGTAATTCTCATTCTTACTAATGTATGCGTTAGAGATGAATAGAAATGCATGCTATGTAAGTGATATTGTTTGTCATTATTATACAGTTGATGGGGCTATGAAAAAAGCTTGTTGAAGAATGTTGTTCTCTGTAGGCTTCAGAAATTGAAAGATCTCAGTTTTAATGTATTGAACAGTTGTTTGTTAGTTTAAATGCATTGGAGAATCGATATGCTAGCATACTTTTGGTGCGGTTGATGGTTTATTTTCATTTCCAGGTTGAAATAGAATTCATTATTAGAATCGAATTAGATTGATTGTATGATGAATTCTCTTTCTGTTTGTGTGGGCGAGCGTGTGCGTATTATGAGATTGTGAACAGCTCTGCTATCTCATTTTAAGTTTTGGAATCATGATTATTCTGTTTCATCCTATCTAAAAAGATTTTATCCTTCAAAACAATGTCAAAGTTGCTTTTTTGTTCCTTTCAATTTCTTTCCATAGTTGGTATCTGATACAAAAAACGATTCAAAGATAAGAAATCGAAGCATTAGAGCTTTTGTTTTCTTCAAAGTCCAGAAAATAGAATAGGTGATAAGTCTGTGCGTCTTCCGCTTATCTCTCTCGAAATTCGTAAAATTGTTATTATATTATTCCATTTGGTTTCACGATTCATGTGGGATTTTGATAACATCTTTCTGTGTTTATAAGAGATTTATATTGATCTTAAAAGGTAAATGGATTGTTGTTTTGCTTTCTAGGTTGAAGATTCAGATTTCTTCAGCTCTAAGTTTTTTCACTCACCGAGATATCAGATTAGATTTTTGTGAGTTTTCTTCCTTGGTTTTATGCTAACATAAAATTTTGGATAATACCAGAAGATCTTTTCTATGTAATGCATTCAACTATACCATCATAATTAGATGTGCTTGGTTTGCAGGGTTGTATATTCTATACTTCTGTTCTCTCCATCTTGTACGTATCGTATGGCTGAGCAGAGCTTCAGTTTAGCAGCGACCCCAACAATACCCGAGACAGATGGAGGCAATTCAAGAAGAAATTCTGTGGGAAAAACAAGTTCTTCAGATATAAGCAAGAAAATTCTTCCTCACTATCTTCGAGCTTCTACTGGTTCGTGTCATGATTTCTGTAAATATGGGAGGCAACATGCATTTGAAGTGAAGGCAAGGCGTCCATTTCCTAGTAGACTCATAAAGAAACCACCAGATGACCAAATTTCGGCAGAGTCTCAGACAGAGGAAAAAAGGACACCAGTGGTTAAGGCCAAACCTAGTCTCAATTCCAAATCTCCCAGTTCTATTAGTCCGGAGATCATCAAGCGAGAAGTGTCAACCAGATCAGCTGTCGGCCAAAATCCGTTGTTCAAAGGAGTCCTGGCGAAGAGGATGACACCAACAGGTTTATTAGCAAAATCTTTTGATAGCCAAAGTTCGATGTTGAGAGAAGTTCTGGCTAGGAAAAAATCGTCAGCTGGGTTATCACTGACAAAATCTTTCGATGGCCCAAGTCCACTTTCAAGAGAAGTTCTGGTCAAGAAAAACACATTGTCACAGGAAGTGTCAATTAAATCAGCTGACAGCCAAGATGCAGGGTCAAGTGAAATCTGGACGGGGAAGAAGACATCTGCTTTGGGGAGTAAAAAGAATTCAGAGGTCAAGTCATCAACTAAATCAGTTGGCAGCCAAGGTTCAGGGTCAAATGAAATTCGGACGAAGACGAAGACCTCAGCTGTGGGGAGGAAGAAGAATTTAGAGGTCAAGTCACCCCCAAGCGCCACTAAGCAGGATTTGGCATCATCTTCTGGAAAACCAAAGGTCTCTATGAAAAGAGTGTTGTCAAAAGCTAAAGAAGTGAACTTAACTGCGAAAGAAGCTAGTTCTTTGAAGCCAAAAGTGTCTTCTCCTGATGCTTCAAGAATGTTAGGTGGCAGAAAAAATGGTGACGTCAAGATTGAACAGAGTACAAGGACCTCCAAAATAGCTGCAAAGAAAGTACAAGCATCCCCAAGGGCTTCATTTTCTCCTAGAAGATCCGTCAGTGGTGTTGCTAGACAACTAGCGTCCCCACGAGCTTCATTGTCCAGTAAACCTTCTCCTATTAGAATTGCAAGCCTAAATGCAAAGAAGCATAGGGACTTGAAACTCACACCTCTGGCTAAAGAAATTAATCCTAAGCAGCCCAAGATTAAGAATGCTGCTCCCGTTCAACCCAGTGACAAACTTAAAGAATCGAATAGTGACGTGGTCGAGGAGAAAACATTATATGTCATCAAGATGGAAGCTGACAACAAATATGTAGGGTCCGATCATAATGAGAATGTTTCTGCCGAGTCCTCACCACCTCCTCTGTCTTCACTCAAGTCTCCATCCCTCCCAAAATCCTCCTCCTCCTTGTCTCATAGTGAAGAAGATGAAGATGAATCTGAGTATACTTTGACAGAAGCAGAAGATGACACTTTCTCTGAATATGACGAAATCGAGTACATGGAAGAGGCAGAGACTTTGGAAGGGGAACACAGAGGGAGGAATAGAAAGTCCGGGATGATTCTTTCTGAGGACAAGGATGGCAACCCAGTGAAATTATGTTTCAGGAGGGGAAGGGTGATTGACATTCAGTCTGAGAGTAATAGTCCAAGGAGGTTGAAATTCAGGCGAGGAAAAGTGTTGGGGGATAACCAAAATCTAAAAGCTGATGGCCGAAGAAGCTTCAGGAGGAGAGGAGCTTATGGCAATGCGATTGACAGCAAACCTGATTCAGAAAAGGTTGTTTTGAGACATCAAGATGTTCATGGAAAGAAGGATGGCCAGGGTCTGTTTAATAATGTCATTGAAGAAACAGCAAGCAAACTTGTCGAGACAAGGAAAAGTAAGGTTAAGGCCTTGGTGGGTGCTTTTGAGACGGTAATTTCCCTCCAAGATGGCAAACCCTCTGCAAATGCTGCCTCTTGAATTGGAAGCAAACTGCTACGCCAAAAAATAAGTACCATTTTCTAAGAAGAATTCAAGTCAAAGTGAATGCTTTTTCATTAACAGTTCATTAGTTTTGCAAAAGGATTGGTAGGAAAATAAAACTAAGCTTGCACTGAGAAGTATGGTTAACAAGCTCAGTCGTGGAAATGTAAAAATGATTGCTTCGGTTGACATTAGATTGCTTCGATATAGAGTTGGACGGGAAGTCCTTTGAGAGTATTGATCTTGGCACGACTTTTATACCGAGGGTATGCATCTTCTTTTTTTTTTCAAATTTTGTACTGATATGATTGGATTCTATTTGTGAATAAAACAAATATACTCTTGCGGAAGAAAGCTTGATGATATGATTTTTTCTTCCTTCCATAATTTGTGTGTATTTGCTATATCTTGTCTAATCTGTGTTTCGTGGGTTTCTTGTTTCTTTGTGATTGAATTTATTGTTAATCTGTTGCTCCCATATGTTATTATGATTTGCTTCCAGAGGGCAATACCAAATTCTTTCCTTCATTACTTGTGTGCCAGCAACCTTAGAGGATTTGAACTTCCTAACCCAAATAATCGTGAACACTACTTGCTTTGCATTATCCTTTAATATTTCTTTTTTTTTAAAAAAAAAAAAAGCGTGGAATTAAGATTGTTGCTGTGCTTTTGCAACATTTTTTACTTTCATAAATCCTGTTAATTTTTTTATTTCAACACCAGTCCTTTGAATGGTATCCTCTTGTGGCTTATAATTGCCTTAGAAAAGGGTGAATGCTACAGCAGGGTAATGAGAATGCAAGGTATAATGAAATGGGACCCTAGTTAAATATGCTGTGCCCCAATTCAGTTGGTACACCCATTATTCCAGCTAGTGGGTGGTATGGCACATCCACCTTTAGCAGAAGCCATAGGGGGACTGTAATCACCGGACATGTGATGTCATCCTTATACCATGACTAGGTGCCATTTGGACAAGTGGAGACAGATATGTTATTGATAGATAAAAACTGTGCAAGCAATTGCAGTGTGTTTTATCCCAAAAACCCTTGTCTGGCAGGCATTCTCAGATGTCAGTCTCATGACGCTGCATGCCTTACTTATTTGTCTTACCTGAGAGCGGGGGCTCTGTTTCTGTAAATGGAAATGGTTTGTTTCACTGTTCTTCAAGTGTTTACTTAGGAACAAAGGATGAATTTTTCAATATTTCCCTATTGTTGAAATATAATTTCAACTTCCTCTTTTTGTTTGCTTAATTCTCTTTCCTTAACACTCCTTTCGCTGTTTTGGTGTTATCTAATTACCAAAAAGCTTGTGTTTCAACTACAATGCCTGCAATAAGTTAATCAAATACTGTATGATGTCAAGAAAAAGTAGAAGAGAATTGCATCTTGATCTTGCTTAGAAGGGAGGTGGAAGAAGGTCCTTGCCATGCATTATCACCACTATCGGGCAATGGGGAAGAACATTGTGTTGATCATCTAAAAAAAGAAAAAAAGAAAAGAAACATGCTATATTGAAGCTAAAATGAAACAAGTCCTGTTGAAAAAGGGCTGATTATGGTATATCAATGGTTTCTGAAGTTGATAATAAAACGTGTAAATTATAAATTAGTCCCTCTAGTTTCAATAAATACTTAATTAGTCATTCTCGTTTCAAAAACTATTCTTTAATCCTTTAACCAATGTTGAATATGTTTAATTTAATATTATTTTTATTCCATAAAATGTCTTATTTTCTCGATAATCTTTTCATATTTTTCCATTTTTTTTTTCATTTAAAAAATATCAAAACAAATTGATAAAGAACAAAAATAACTAATTACAAATAGATTTAAAAATATGGGGACTATATAATTAATTGTTGAAATGAGAGAAATTAATTAATTCATTTATCGAAACTAGAATGACTAATTTATAATTTACTCATAATTAAACTTGGATGTTCGAGTAGTTGTCATAACATTAAAACTAAGATCAATGATGATGTATGTTGCAACTTGACATTTACTCCTAGTATTAAAAAAATACAAACCTAAAATGAGTACTAGTTTAGAGATTTTTGAGTAAAAGTTGGTTATATTTTTGAAAAGATATTAATCATCAAACAACACAATTTCCTTGGAAAAGTACCTCATTTAATTTAGTTATAAGGTTTATCTCCTAAAAATTTTTACTTTTTTCAAAATTGATCCTAAGTCAAAGTTTCAAGTTTTTCCTAAACCAAATTAATTTTTTTTTATTTTTTTGACATCATATTGAACTAATCATCGGACCCTCTCGTTGGATGTCACATCGGTTTAATATCGGATCTAGTTTAATTCTCGACATAACCAAGTATATTGGAGAATAACCTAATTACTAAAATAATTGATTTGGACTAACTTCAATTTCTATTCCATAGAAGACTTTGTTAATTTTTCTCCTAGTATTTTCTATCTTTTCGCTTCTTCTTTTTTTTAACTAGGATTTTCTCTTCTTCTTTTTCATCATTTTTTTAATCATTTCCCTTCCTCTTATATATATATATAACATTTTCTCTTTATTACTATTTTTATTATTATTTTTATTGGTAAGGAGTCATCATCGGTCCCTAAAAATTAAGAGACCCTATGATTCA